TGGAAATCATGCATCTGAAACTATATTTAAAAAGTGTATATTATGTTGTTAGGTGTTCTAGATATTCCAGTGTTTCTATTGGTTTTTAGCTTCTAAAATTTGTTTTGTCACACGCACTTTGTATGCATCGAGTGTATTCTGTAAGAGCATAGCTACAGTAATAGGTCCAACTCCACCAGGTACAGGTGTAACCAGACTTGCACGTTGCCAAAAAGTATCAGTTTGCTCAACATCACCAAGAATTTTAATTTTTCCTGTAGCAACATCTTCTAATACTGTAATTCCTGCATCAATCACAATAGCACCTGGCTTGATCCAGTCTGCTTTCACGACATGTGCAACACCAGCACAAGCTATCACAAGATCAGCGAATTCTACTTTTGCTTGTATATCATTCGTTTGTACCGTACACATGGTCACTGTACTACCGCGACTTGATAGAGCCAATGATAATGGTAAACCAACAGTTTTCGATGCACCGACAATACAGGCAACTTTACCAGATAATTTGACATCATACAATTGTAGAATTTCAAGAATACCACGGACAGTACAAGCGATGAATGAAGTTGACGAAGATGAAGAAGTTGGAGATGAGATTAAGTCAGCTAGTTGCAACGAATGTAAACCATCAACATCTTTTTCAACACAAATTGTGTCTAAGATGCGTCGCCGATCTAACTATTTAGGTAATGGCAACTGAACTAGAATGCCATCGATTAAAGGATCATCATTCCATTGTTTGATCTGTTTTATAATAGTGTCTTGTAGTTCACTTGAGTTTTTTCCTTCGTTATCTTTAATTTCTACTATTTGACTAAAGAAACCTAAACTGGCAGCGAGAATAGCTTTCTTTTGAACGTATAAAAGAGAATCACGGCGGCTACCGACAAGGAGACAAGCTAGACCTGGCAGACGACGCGGTAATCCAGCTTCAATCACACTAGCGTGTAAAGATTTAATTTCCAGGCCAATTTTCGTTTGAAAATAACTAGAAATTTTATTACCATCAACACGAATAGCTCGGTTACGTCCAAGTCTCTTTATATGCCATGGAGTTATGAATGGAGATAGCTTATGCACAAATGCATGACGAGCGGTACGATAGGCTGCAGATTGGAAGTTTTCTGTCATCTTTGCTAGTTCAGTTGATCGACATGCAGCCAATTTATCGTAGAATAATGTACCACATTTTTTCTGTTTGTTCTTTATCAGATTATCATACTTATGACTTGATAATAATAAATTTGCAATGTCGTGAATTTTTTCCAGCATTTCATTACCTGTCTCCGTCAAAACACCATTAATTAAACGGATTTCTTTTGCTTTTTTAGGTAATATTGGTTGACAAGCTTCTGTAATTTCACGTGCATATGTATAGCCAATACGACGAGGTAGATTATAAGTCCAATATTCACTTCCAAATAGACCCATTGTACGATAGTGTGGATTCAAAATTGTTTTAGCAGTCGCATAGATATAATCAGCTGCCAGCGTCAACATAACACCACCTGCACCAGCACTACCTTGAAGTGCTGATATTGTCAATTTATTTGTTATTGACATAATCTTCAATATAATATCATTCATTGCATTTATATTTGCCCAACTTTCATTGTATTGATTTTTGGCAGCTTCAATCACGTTAAGATGAATACCATTACTAAAATAGGTGGATCCGCCACACAAAATAATTACTTTAGCACTATCGATTTGAGTAATTTCATGTAGAGCTTGTAGGAGACGTTGACACTGTGCTGTTGACATTGCACCATTATAAAAAGTAAAGTGTAGATAGACAACATTTCCTTTTTGTTCATAGTAAACTTCATTAAAAGTTGTATTCGTAGGTATAGTAGTAAAATTGGTAGCTAAAATAGGTAGAGTACCTAAACGATCGCTCTCTAATAGCATTGTCGATGGTAGCTTAAAACTATTGTTCGTTGCACGTTTCATATGTGTTATCCAAACAGCTTCTTTCCCTCCGTTACATGAAACTAAAATAGCACTATCACGCTGCCCTAACAATTGTTTCGATGGTGTATTTGGAGGTATTGTAATGAGATTTTCAATATGTGCACCATAAAGATACATTCGTTCTCCAAAGAGTACACTATCTAAAAGACCTGGATTTGAATCACGTGAAGATATTTTTCTAATAACTGTTCGTGCATCATCTTCTTCCCAATTTATAGCACATTGAGACTGTTTCATTGTTGGTTTAAGTGTTCCTTTAATTGAAGGGTCTGAATAATCAAGTGGAATCGGTTCAATTTGTTCAATAAAATTTATGACTGCTCTCTGAATTGCTTTTAGTGCAGCTGGTACAACTTGATTACGATAAACTTTTGATTTAGTTAATTCAGATGGAAGTAGAGTATCTAATGGAAAATTTTCTGTTGCGAAGATTGGTCCTGAATCCATTTCTGTTGCGGCCTCCATTACGGTAACACCCCATTCTTTTTGTCCTTCCATTAAAGCCCAATCCAAACTATGTATACCACGGTCACCAACAATACCCGGATGAACAATCATTGTTTTGAACTTTGTGTGCAAACTTTCAGGTACAACTTTTGTTAGAAACGGACATATAATTAACTCGGGTTTCAATTCAGTTGCAATCTGTTCCATTTGTTCTGATGACAAAGCTAACTCAACCATAACGATGTGGCCCATTTCAGTCAACATCAAATAAGCAGCTTGAGACATTGAATTATGTGCATTTGTAAGAAATAAGATGCGTAATTTCTTTTTGAATTCTTCTTTTTGTTGTTGCATCTGTCTCACTTTTTCTTCTAGTTTATCTTTCTCAGTCATCTGTTGAAGTAAACTACGCTGCTGTTCTTGTTGTTGAGGAAATTTATACTGACTAAAAGTCCTACCAGAAATACAGCATATAGGATTCTTAGAAGAGCACTCGAATAGAAGAAGATCACCACCATGAACGTTAAGATAACATAAAGATTGTGCAGTAGATAACAATCGATTTCTAGATGATGTAATCAAACGTAATTTCAAACACAATGACATTACTTCTGCAAAATCTGGAAAGAAAAAAGGAAAATATTTTCAATAAAGAGCAATAAAGTGGCTCTAGTGTGACTACAGAAGCCTGTATTTTAGACAGGTGTGACCACGAACTGTGTTAGTGAATGTAAATGAAGAGAAATCCTATGCCTACACCCATCTATATCTTTTGACTACATTCTGTTATGAGGCAGAAAGTGTGGATGTGGTTGTGGATTTGGGTATGGGTGTAAGTGCAGGAAAAGGCAGGTCCACACTGCATAGCTACAGCCACAACCTCACCCTTATCCCATGCCCGCACTGTCACAATCAATCTGACTCAAAATAAGTGTTGCTTATGTCCTATTATCAATGATTTATAAACAAAAAATAAACATTCTGAAGTCAAAGATTTTATGTCACTTCAGTGCCACAATCGTCAGAGTGATGAAATGCAATAGAAACGAAATAAAGCTATAGAGAAATCAACTACGAAGCTTTTCTTAGGATCAAACGTGTATTTCTTTGTAGAATCTGCATATAGTGCAGTGACTTTATGGTGGAAGTGAAGGTATGAATTCTATATTCAGACACCGTCATAGATACAATAGCCGTATGAATGATAGACATCCATCGAACCAGGATACGTATCCGGATTCCCGAATTCGGTTTTTGCCGAGCTTCGGTCATTCCTGACATCCAACCAATACTAAGTTTTATCGCAACCTCAATCTTCTGTTAAATACAACAGAGTCTCAATAGCAGATGGATTTAATAAGGATATTTCTCGCAAAGGAATAATTGAGGTCGGTGAGTCCGAATCTGAAGTAAGATTTTGAAAACTTTGTTGCTTCATCTCTGTGATGAGTTTTGTTCAAAACGTCAGGAATTTATGAAAAACAGGTATTCCGAGAAATCTTAGTCGACAATATTTGAAATTCTCGGACTAGATTCTTCAAATCTATTCAACAAGGTTACTCTAGACTTTTCCTGACAGACAGTGAGCCCGACTTTGCGGTTTCTGTATGCTTGGGCTGAGTAGTTCCTGGGTACCGAAATTCTCCAATTTACTGAGTAATAGAGTTCATAGATCATTAAGAACTGATAGAGTGTGCATACATATCATTGATTCATGGACATTTTACAGTAAAAGATATTAATTTTCAACTTCACTGAGGAAAATTTATCGTGTTGAAAAAAGTTTCTTTTCAGTTTTTTTGTACATTGAAATAAAACCTAATACTCCAACCATTTAATCTTATTGAGTCTGCTGTTATTTTGATGATCAGTACTTATCATGAATAATTGCTCTTTTTATAAAATATCTAAGGAAAATAAGCATTCCTATCCTGTGGAATTAAAGCATGAAAAAGATGGCATTTCGGACAGTGCAAAGGAAAAAAATGCATGCATTTGAAATTGATGAATGAAAGTGAACATTTTCATCAATATAATGTGATTATTTTGATTTTGAATGAAACCCATGGTAAGTGATTGATGATAATTTTCAATTTCATCCATGCATTTCAAATACATGCATTTATTTTTGCTCTTTTGTCCGTCCAAAACAGGGATACCACCTCTTCCGCTTTTTTCCGCTTTTTGATATAAAAAGATGATGTATTTTCAAAATACGTTCACACCAAAACTTACTATTGTCGAATAAAGTCTTACTATTTACGCATCCAGGTAATCATCATTCCTATTATGTCATTCATAAAACCGATGAACGAACACATAAAGTTTTTCCATGCTAAAGGGCTAGCGCGTTAATTGCCTGCTCGGGAATTGAAAACATCATTCGGCCCTTAACTGACAGTTAATTCCTTTTCAAATTATTTTGCCTACTGTATTTATACAAAAAAAATCTCAAATCCGAAAATTTAAACGTGTTTTAATGATCTAAAGATATTAAGTTCACAAATGATGAAACAGATCCTGAATATTTAATAACAGCATCACCAATTCTGAAATCAAATGAAAATAAAAATGTTGAAGCCATACTAGGTGCTTATCAAAAGATAAAAAAGGCATGTTTTATCCACAATAGCTACCTACTCCTCAGTTCGCATCATTTTCAGGAGAGTATAAACCATATTCAGCTGAAGTTTTTCGTATTGCCTCTAACGAACATTTTTCAGTATGTGATGGTGGAAAAAATGATATTGATCGTCACATCAAGTTGAAAAGACATAACAACAACATAAATCATTTAGTATAGATGGGCAATTGATAACATCAACTATAAAATCTAACAAGGAGGTTGAAAAAACAACAGGCGAAGAAGATACTTCTATTTACCATGGAGTGAAGCATAATCATTCTTATTCATGTCAACAATATTTTATGTTTTGCGATTTTGTTAAAATAAAAAGCAGAATGCTATAGATATGAAAAACGTTGAAAATCCTCATAAATGCTAAAACTCCGCAACGAAATAAGTTTCCGCTTTCTGTGTTTTTTTTCCGCAATTTTTTGCTTTTTTGACTTCCTGAGGTGGCATCCCTGTGCGGGTTTATTATTTTTCCCAACTTAAAAATTATCTTTTCTCCATGGCGCCCCCCCCCCCCTCTTATAGACTGCAACAACC